CCTCTGATTTAACATGTAGACAAATATCACAAGGGTAAAAAGGAGGCGCGAGTGTGTATTTCTGAGTTTTTGTGATTTTTATCTACTGATGTTTGTCCTAATGGATACATTTTGAGATCTGGGTTTTGGTTTGTTGTCTTGTGTTCAGGGGAATGTACAGTAGGAGTGTGTTTGGGGGTAAGGGGCTTCAGGAGTGTGTTGATTCCCCTCCCTCTGTCTTTATAGTTTTTACTCTCAGAGGAAAGCATGAGGAGACAGCAGAGCAGACATATCAAGTATAATTGGAGAAGCAGGGAGACGGGGGATGAGGGACTTTCAAACTTTCTCTGCTCTGCAGAGTGTATCTTTAAGCTGTCACATGAAAGCCCTGCGTCTATGTAAAGTCAACTTTTGAGGAATTTTTAGACGCTTTCTTATTTACAGCCTGTCAACCATGTATTTGATTTACTTTGCATGGACGACTTCCATGAATTTTCAGCCACACTGGCTTCATGACCCGAGTGATGAAGTGTGTATACTGGCTATTAGTCAGTCAACTACTTTGGCCAAATATTTGGATTCCCAGAAAGTCATTCAAGATCGTATTGACTTTTTTTTTTGGTGTGGTTTGACCTTTGAGGCCTTGAGGAATCTTTTAATAATTATTGGATTGATTACAATGACCTTCCATATTGATATTCATGTCAGAATAAATCATAATCACCCCAGTGAGCCTTATATTTTTTTTGTTCATCATCAACATTATTATTTATCCAAAACTTTGGATTATAAACAGATATCTTCAAAACTATTTCCAATCCAATCATCCACTCCAGACCATCAGGATGGATATGGTTAGGCTGCTAGGAAGTCGTGTTTTTCAGCCTAGATACTAAGAGTGATTTACAGATCAGCCTCGTAAAAGACTTGCAGACCCTTTGGGAATCAAACGTATTTAATATTAAGGATTTAGATATACAACATTGCATCAGAACTTTTCAAACTAAACCACAAAAGCCAATGAGAGTTATGAGTCTACAGAAGTCTAAAAGGATATGGAACCACTGGTGGTGATTTAAAGCAACTGTTAACAATATACACCTGAGACCAGTCAGCTCACATACCTCTCTGGACAGAGAATCAACTGGTTTAATTTCACCCACAGTTCTTCTTTTATTGTTGTCCCTCCAAATACTCTCATCCCATGTTTTTGAGCATTTTGATCTGCTTCACTGTGAGATCACGTGAGATCATACAAGATCACATGAGGAGGTGTGTTGTTTTACTTTTAGCATCTTTGTATCCTTTCAGTTGTCATGTGCCAATTTTTTTATTTTCTTGTAGTGGGTGTATTTTTGAGATAAGACAGAAGATGGGTCAAGTTCCTCCTTACTTGCATGATATAACCCCATTTCTATATTTATACGAATGTTAAATCTCATATAGTGTCAGTCAGGTCTCAGTCTTTATAGATTCCTGCCGTATACGATCAGTTTAGGTGTGAAAATGAAAAAAAAAAAGACCAGGTTTGGTTGAAACTAAGATGTTGTTCAGCAGCAGTAGCCGTGTGCGGTAAAGAAAAACCTATTAAAGCATCATGCTCCCAGCTTGGTTGAACAGTATAATTGGTTGTCTCTCATGGCATTTATGACCCTGTAAAGCCTGCAGGTAAAAGAGCGAGAATACGAGTGTACATCCTTCTGTGTTCTTAAGAATACATGTCTCCATTGCACAATGTTGCCAAATAATATGGTTGTGGATGCTCTGTTAAATTGCCAGTTACTCTGACAGGTAGTCATTCTTGATTTTGTCGACTTTTTTTTTATTTGGGTCACGGAAAAAAATTGAAGGTTTCGAAAAAAAAAAAAAAAAAAAAACCTGTCTTGGACCCCTAGGTAGAAACAAACCTTAGAAAGTCAGAGTCTGACTCAGTGAAGCAGGCTCGTGGAAATGTCAGCGTTAGCCCCCGGCTGTGGAGGGAGACGTCTGACTGGCACATTTAGGCTGGTTATCTTGGGATCCAAAGGAACTCGCTACAAGGTTGGTGTCTGGTGGCTCGATAAACGACAGGATTTTGAACATGGTCTAATAAGCCCATCTGAGACTAAATGTAATCTCCACTGGAGTCAGGGCTGAAGATTTTTTAACAGCCATTACACCAGGGGAATCTGAACTATCACTTTGCTTTCCCTTTTTACTACTGGTGAAGTCCCCTCAAGAGGGCTGTTAAGTGTGGGCTCTTCATCCATGTCAGGGAAGAAACATGATCAGAAAACGACGCTTTAAATGGATGGGTTCCCATTGTTAACGTAGTCAAAGCTTGTATATCCTAATTTGAAGTCAATACTTTAGTCACAACCTTTTCACTTGCAAAGACCATGCCTCAACAATATGTGCATATTTCATAAAAGATTGGGATTATGTATGTGGGCAACGATGGTGAAAGAGAATGCCGCCTGTTAAGCTTGTCTAGGAGGATGAACTGAAGGCAGAGCGAGACTCAGGGTGGGGGTTCCACCTCAGGCACAATTCTACCCGAGCTGATCTCGGGCTCAGACTGTACCTTAAATTAGACAGAGACATCGGAGAGACATATGCCAGGATGAAAATGAAGGGGATGAGGAAGGGGTGGGGGGGGGGGGGGGGGGGGGTGCGAGGAAGAGAGTGTTGGTCAAAAAACTGATGACTGGAGGCTTGTTCACACTAAACTCCTGAAAACCTCCTGAAGTTTTCCTTGTGAGCTGCACGCACGTGTGAACGCAAACAGCCAGCAGTTTTACGCAGAAAGTGTGAGCGAGCTAATTTGAGAATGCAGCAGGATACAATCAGGAGAATTCACCTCGGGCGTGAAGGGAAGGGGTGGTGACGCTGATTCTCTGCGATCCGTGCACGACCCCAAAAGTATGCCACTGATCTCTGTGCACGTTCTTAAACTGCTGCATTTCATTTTGCTGTGCAGTATCTTCTTCTCTACTCTTTTGTTGGCATTGCCATTCCGTCAAACTGCACATAGCATTCATAGAAGGGCAAGAATTCCCATTCTCAGTAATGTCTAGCCTCAGGAGACCCGCCCCCCCCTCTCCTGCCTGACAGGGATAGTCTCCTGCTTTGACTTGCATGAGTGGACAACCAGATATTCTCTCGACATTTTCAGGAGCTCTTGCGTGAAAACAGCTTAGGTATAAGTAGGCTTGTCAGGTGATTGAAGTTGTGGTTCAGGCGTGGTCCTGCTCCAGAACATAAGTTAATACATGAACTTAATTTCTTAAATAAATGATCTTGTTTGATTTTCTTTGCATTAAAATGACCCTCATTATTGATCGAATTGAAAGTAAAATGATCCCTGTGACCCTTAAACATCCTAATCCCTCATTCAAGAAACCAAGAGCTGGGGGGGGGGGGGGGGGAATCAGGATATAAGCTCCAAAGCTCCAAATCCTTTTCCTCCATGTGTAGAGGTTCACTGGGAGCCCACAGTGAGATGGAAGTATAGGAGAATGATTGTGACAAAGTGAGAGAGATAAAAGTAGAGCTGCGGACAAAAGGGCTTTTTGTGCCGGTTTGCAGTGGTAAATCAGTCCTGGAGAGAATGTCAGCAGATTCCCCTGGACAGAACACACACACTGTCACTCTCTCTATCTCTCTCTCTCACACACACACACACACACACATACACACACATACACACAAACAGATATGAGCATATACTCAGGCGCACGGTCACAAAAATAGACACATGCATAAAGACAGCTCAGTCCACATTTTCTGCTGCCTCCTGTGATCGCACATACACACACACACACACACACACACACACACACACACACACACACACACACACACACACACACACACACACACACACACACACACACTTGTTGTGCTTTCTGGGCCACCAAGGGGAAATGGGGAGAGTAAAAAGAGAGAGAGGGAAAAAAGAAAGAGAGCTGCTGGCTTGCTTGGTGTGTGAGTCATGGACATGCTGACTGTCCTCAGGCCTCGGTACACCATCTGCACCCCCACCGCCTGCACGGCTTTATCACACAGCTCACTGCTCCAATGCACCAAACACACACACAGACACACACAAAAACCCACCCACACACACACACACACACGTATGCATACATGCTGAAGTAAACACTCAAACATGCATCATGCAGATAGAAAAATGCACTGATGTGACTGATATTGGGGTGGACATATAACCTGGACCGCATACTCCTGAAATACACAAATACATACACACACACACACACACACACACACACACACACACACACAAACCCCTAACTCATATCTGCAGAATCATCCACCTTAATGCAGGGTATTATTTATAACACAGTGAACAGAGGGGCCTGTGTTACGTTAGGAGAAAACATTTGCTTCTGCATTTTGAAATGAATGTTTTTATGATTTTAGAAAAAACTGCTGCACGTTTGACTTTTTTCCTGACATTTTGACTTTCTCAAAATGTCAGGATAGTTTCTGAATATGAAGTGCAAATGTCAAGATTTTTGACTATTTCCTCAAGATTCTAACGTTGTTCTCGACACTCTGACTTTACTTTCAAAATAAATAAAAAATCTCCCTCCAAATAGAAAAATCCTAGAAAACACAGCCAGCACATTTTCTCAAACACAAAAATTCTAATTTAATTGAATATCTCACACACAGCAACACACACACATGCACGCACGCAACCACACACGCACACTCCCCGCAGGTCATCTGGGACTGACCAACATTCTCGCAGAATTCATTACAGAAACCTGACACTAGCCTGCAGAAAAAAGAGCAAATGTTGCATTGCAAATGTGCGTGTGCTGAATCCGTCTGGCTGAGTGTGTCGTGTGAGTGTGCAGTATGAATGAGCATGAAGGCCTCATAACCCAGGAATCAATGGAGAGGATCCTTTTCATTAGAGTGACGGTAAAAGCTGCTTCGACATTGACCCTGCCTCTATTTTTTAAGCCAACGATCGTGTACACCTATCAAGTAACAGACGAAGAACGCTCAAGTAAGAAGTCTTCATTTTTTTATTCAACCATGTTATTAATGTTACACATCAACACAGATAAAAAACAGTAGCCCATAAAAAAGACCTGCGGAATAGTAAGAGTATTAATAATATCAGGTAATATCAAGAAAATGTACAGTCAAAAATGTGGGACAATAATCACCAGCACTGAAAAATGCAGCATGTCTGTTTGACTTGAAGCACAGAATAAAAAACAACAAAAAAAAACACGCTCGTACACACACATGCAGCACAAACCAAACGAGCAACATTATCTACCAGCTCCTCGTCTGAGGAGATCCACTAAAAAAACACAACTTGTTCCATTGAACTCTCCCTCCTTCTTAGCACAACTGTTACAAAATCACTTCATGTTCCCTTCACATGTTTCAATGCATGGGTAAGAAAAGAAAAATTCTTCTTTTCATCAGGTGTGTTTGTGATTCTGTATCTTTCATTTTAAAAAAAAGGATCAAAGTGAGAAAAAAAACACACTTGTAATTGGACGGAATATCTTCTGATAAAAAACGTGTATGTATGAAATGATGGGTTCCAGTTAATGGCTTTGTACAACACAGTATAAATAGACACGAGAGGCAGGGCTGTAATCATCCATCCAAAGCTTATTTCATAGGGCTGCAACTACTGATTATTTTCACTGTTAGATTATTTCTATATAGATATATTAAGATGTATTGTTTTGACTTCATGTAAACCTTTGTATGGACAGTTTGTTCTTGAACTTTGATCGTACAATCTCAACTGAAGGTGAACTTAAAGCTCCTGTGAGGAGTTTTCAAATGGTTGTGAAAAAAGACTTAAAGTTATGTTGATGCTTTTTTTATGAGCAAAAAAACATCATCAGCATAAAAATGTATTATTTCTATATAGTTATTTGAAAGGCAGTCAATGGTGTTGCGGGGGTAGGTGTCAGATGAGGTGATTTAACAGAACTTTGGCAAAACAGCCATTTTGGAAAGATTTATTTTGGGGCATTTAAGTCTTTATTTGATAAGACAGTGGGTAAGAGTTTGAACAGGGAGAGAGAGTTGGGATTGACATGTGGGAAAGGAGCCGCGGGTCGGTGTCCAACATGGGCTGCCCCGCTTAGATAGAGTCTCCACACATGGGGCGCAACCTAACCATTAGGACATTTAGTGCAGTGGTTCTCAACTTGTCTAGCCTAAGGAACCCCCACTAACTCTTTATATGAACAATCGTGACCCAAATTTCAGATATTTTTCAACCAAACAGATTGATTTAATGACAAATTGTGCAGTTTGGACCTCAGATGGAACAAAACCTGACGGAAGAAAGAAAAAGAACAGAAGAAGAAACCGCTTTGTGACCCACTTTTGGGTCCCAACCCACCAGTTGAGAACCACTGATCTAGCGCCACCAAAAACAATCTATTTTTGTCTCACCTTCCAAGAAAAGATTGAGGGTGAGTGATGTGTTGGGCTGTTAAAGAAAGAACAATTAGCTTATCTGTCTTACTACTTACACTAGTTCATCGCACGATTAGCAGAAGACATAAAAGGTACCGCTTTGACCACAGGGGGCGCCAAAATCAGCTCAAAAGAAAACTTTGTCACAGGAGCTTCAATCACTTGTTTCTGGACTTTCTGCCCACATTACATGATTCTCTCCAGCAGTTCAGTTTGCCAACAGTTAGTCTGAACATCAAGAACCCGAACGAGGCTAACATCATCTGTTGATGCGGGAATGCTAGCAACAAGAGAGACTTTTGCTCAGAAATGTTTTAACATGTTGCTGGTTGTCATGGTGCTGGTTTGGACATTTACACTTTACAGCTTTTGCTCGACAAGTTAGGGATTTATTTCATATATAAAACAACACACATCTTGGTACCACTTTCCAAAATGCATCATTAAATGAGTCCTGTAGAAGAGACCGAAGGTATCTGGTGCTGATGATAAGTGAACAGATGGGAGGGAAAGGAATTAAAATATTGAGTTGTACATATTGTGAATATTCACTCTCCCTGCAGTGCTCCTTCTGTTAACCAGCTGAAAAAAATTTAAATGTTTCCCTGAAGAATGCCTCATTACGGATCTTTAAATCAAAAATGAATAATTGATAACAAAGAAAGCACTTATTTACCCCGTTTGAAGTATGCATGGTTTAGACAGTGGTACCAAAATCTTTGAAATGCTGACAGGTATGAACTGAGAGCCGCTTAGCCGCTTTGAAAGAGGTGTTCCCGAGCCACCGTGCATGTTGGTGGCACTTCTGGCTGGGCAGATCTCCCATTAACATTCCCGTCAACGTTTTCGATATGCCAGAGGGTCCACATCATGTGAAGAGCTACGAAGGGAAGAGTGTGCTCGCGTTGGTTTGATAAACAAACGTTAATCTCCTTAGAGCTGCCTCGGGCTCTGCAGCAGGTTTTTTGAACACAGAAAAGACAGACTGGCTGCCTGGCTCACTGCGCTGTGCTGCCCGACCACCCTCTTCCACTTCAGGAGCAATCCTCTCTTTCTATTCCACCGCCTTTCCGTGTTCACAACAGTAATCCATTCGGTGACGTCTGCGTCAGGTCGCCCCAACTGTTCGTGATCCACCACCCCTCCTTCTTCCTTCTCACACCCCATTCCAGAAGCAACACTTCCTAAGCCGTCTCCCTCTGTTGGTTTCTTACAGATTTGCTCAGCGTCGAACACAAAATTCCCCCAATAGGTTTGTTTATTCAGAGGAGTTAAAGACTCTGATGCTTTTGAGGGTTGTGGCTAATACTCTTGAACCTGTTTTTTTGAACGCAACATCGCAGCATTCTTCTCTGTATTCATAGCTTTTTTTGGGTGCTTTGAAGAGTTTTTTTTTTTTTTTTTTTTTTTAAAGCTGGTTGCCACAGCAGATTCTCTGCGCGTAATGTTTGGCAGTCTCAAACAGCTGAGTTTGAGGAGAGCTAGTATTGCCTGTAGTTGTTTTGTTTTCCCAGTCTTATCCCACCTCTCAAGGGGAGCTTGATTTGGCAAATCCCAGGCCGCCTCATTGTGATATCTCTCTTTCAGCTGCAGCAGCTTCCATTCAGCCTTACAATGAAGAAGCACAGAGGGGTGTGTACGCTGAAATGTTAGGTAAACTTGGGGTTTTTTTTTCGATCCTGACCCGCCTCACTTTGACTCACACTCGTCTCATGTCTGATCTTTTCTCAGTCCGGGCTGTGGAGCCGGCGCTGTGGGCAGTGTGTGTGAGCCAATCCCCTGCTGAGTGTGTTAGCTGTTAGACCTCCCCGTGGTCCTTAAACCTCTGCTTTCTTCTCATTTCTAGCTTCTTTTTTTTGACTGTGGCTGCGGTTCTGGATTACAAATCTTAAGCCTTTTTTTTTTTTTTTGTCACATTTCAAAAGTCATATCTCCATTCGCCTGCCACAACCGCCTTTGTTTCATTTCCTCTCTCAGCTGCGTCTCCTGAAGTACAATCATCGATGTGACAATGATGTTCGTCGTGTTTCCCCGTCACTATAACATCCGCTCATTCTGCATGGCCTTGTAGTAGTGCTCCTGCTCTGCGTGGCTGCGGGCGGAGACGGAGGGTCTGCGAGGCAGGGTGGAGGAGCGGGACAGCGCCTGGCTGTGGGTGTCCATCAGTAAGTCTGGATGGGGAGGAGGGGGGAGCATGCTGGAGCAGGACGGGTGAGGCGGTAAAGGAGAAGAGGACGGATGGGGGTGTGGAGGTGGGGGCATTTGGCAAGAGGACGGGTGAGGAAGCAGGGGCATTTGGGAAGAGGTCGGGTGAGGTGGCGGGGCATCTGCGAGGAAGACGAGTGAGGGGGCGGGGGCATTTGCAAGGACGAGGGGTGAGGAGGTGGGGGCATCATTTGGGAGGAAGAGGGGTGAGGAGGTGGGGGCATCATTTGGGAGGAAGAGGGGTGGGAGGCGGGAGGGGTGGAGGGGACATCTGAGAGGACAAGTGAGGAGGGGGAGGCATGTGAGAGGAGGAAGGGTGAGGAAGAGGAGGCGGCATCGGAGTGGAGTGTGAAGTGGAGTGTGGATGGTGGGGAGGCAAGGGGGAAGAGGACGAGTGAGGAGGAGGTGGAGGTAGCGGGGACGACGACAGCTGAGGCGGGAGAGGCAGAGGGGAGGAGGATGTGGGGAGTGGTGGGGGAGGCAGCTCCGCTCCTCCTTCGTTGCTCCCGCTGGCTGAGGAGATGCACATCGAGTCGGTTTTCACCGGGAGCGTCCTGTAGTCCCGGTACTGACTCGCATTTTCCTGTCGCTGCAGCGCCGCTCTGTGTTTCTCTCCCGCTGCGTCCGCCGTCATCATGTTTCCGCTGATGGTGTTCCTCCACTCCCACGGCTTGCCGTTGCTGGCAGACACGCGCACCACCGGGTGGTGAGGGGCGTGAGCGTCGATGGTGACGATGCTCCCGCTTCCCGCGATGCTCCCCGGGTTGCTTCCCATGCAGCTGTCTCGATCCGATGGGATCCTGTAATAGGGCGATTCAGAGCAGTTGGATCCGCCTCCAGAGGACGAGCCGCCTTCTGAGGTCTTAGTGGACACAGTGTGGGGTCCATGACCCTGCTGCTTGGACATGGCCATCACCTGGAAGACAAGAAGATCTTTTTACAGTGTGCACAGATGCTACCAATGCTAAAAGCTCCAGCTGCTCCAAAACAGCTACTAACTTCAAGGAAATTAGAATATTTTTAAATTTAGAGCATCCACAACAACTGGGAGAGTGTGTCTGCTGAGGAAGAGCATGTGATATGACAAAAAGCTCCACAGCTGCCTGCTACTTAATGGTCCTTGTCTTGATTCTGTTTTGCATAATCCAAGGTCAGGAAAAACACAGTTACTAAAGAAATCAGCAAACGTTGCTTCGTACTGCATAAACCAGAATCGAGGGACTTTTAAGGAGGTTAACATTGAGGAGGGGAATATATTTGACATCTATCACAGACATAAAGTAAGATCCATCTACAACTATAATAAGTGTTTGAACCCTTCGTGTGGGTATTTAAATCTGAAACTAATCTGTGAAATTGCGAGTTGTTCTGCTTTGATTTCACCATCAAATAAATCAGATGTGAGTGTAGCACACACCGCCTTTGGCAGATATTAAATCTCTTCCCCTGTCCAAACTGTACATTACAGAACTGGCTGAATGCCACTTGAAATTAAAAAAATGACAAAGCTCCAGCTCCAGTTATTGTAAACATCCTCATAATTATGATGATTTGAAGGTGTTCGTTCTACCTGAGTGACTCTCTGCTGATTCGGCGGATGGCCGGGTTGCATGCTGGGCACTCTGGGAGTCGACACGGCGATGGGCCCCTGTCCCGGCTCTTTCACCCTCCCTTCCTCGGTGAGCGACAGCCACTTGGCACGTGTCTTGGCGCTCTTTGGGGAAACGGGCGGAGGCCGAGTGGCTTCCTCTGGGATGTGAACTAGCGGGGGTGCCACCACCATTCTGACTCCGGTTGGCGTGGCGATGCCCTTGTTGGCTTGCACTGTGGGATACAGAGAGGAGGGCATCTCCTGGTCTCCTCCTTCTCCTCCTCCTGCTGCCGCTCCTTCTTCATCACCCCCATCCTCCTCGTCCTCATCTCGGGAGCTCTGGCTGCGGAGGTCCAGCGATCGCTGCTTCCACTCCGACACCAGCTGCCGAGACCGTTGGGGGTCAAAGGGCACGTGGAAGGTCATGTGACGCTGCGTGGTGGCCGGCTCATCTGAAGGCGAGATGGGGCTATTCCCGTTTGCCACTCTGGGTAGGGTGTTGCTGAAGGTTACCATGGTTTCCTTCCCCATGGGACCCCGAGTTGCGAGTAGCTCCACATCGGCGCTCGCTCGTTTCAGGGAGGCCAGCGAGGCCTTCTCCCTTCTCACCTTACTGCGAGCGCCGGAGCCAAGCCCTGCACCCAGCTCCTCCCTGCTCTCCGACACCCTGGGGGTCTTCCTGTAGAGGGAGTCATGACTGCGCTGACTCAGCACCCTCAGGCTGTCCTTCTGCTGAGCCGGTGTCAGTCTGTGTAAAGAAAGAGCATCTTCCTCTGATGCTTTGAAGTTTCCCACGGCGAACACAGCCTGACAGCAGACAAAAGGATACACAGAGGAGAAAGAACTGAGAATATGGAAGTAGCCGGCATGTTAAAGAAAGACGGAAGCGTGAAAATCTATTTTCTTTAATCTTTTATAAATTAAGGAATAAGTTCATGAATAGGCATTTTCCCTTCCACCTCCTGTTTAGTCTGAGGTCAGCATGAATCCCTCTCTTCCCCCTTTCTTAGAATTCATCCTTTAATGAGAGGGGGAAGTCCCCCCCCCCGACCCCCCCCTCCTCAAAAACTGAAAGAGGAGAGAGAATAAGACTAAACGGAGGAGGGAGGTGTGGAAAATTGCAACGACAAGTTTCCTTAAAATGAAGTGTGAAATTGTTCCAGAGAATTCTTATCGGATTATTCATTTTGTCTCCCTTCCCTCCCTTAATAGAAAAATTCTATATATAGGCACCCCCAAAAAAAATAAAAAAAAATGCTGGGAGAGAAAATTATGGAAGCCACACGAAGAACGGAGGTGATAAAAAAAAAAAGGAGGATTTGTTAAATCATGGTGTGAAATGGTTAGAACACAATGGGACAATTCTGTCACAGCAACAACTAAACAAGCTTATTTTAAATAAATCTATTTATGTCATTCCCATTACGCTGCATGCTGACTGTTTGCTATATTCCCTTTGGACAAAACAAATCCCTAAATACATTTATTCATGTACAGGCGCTAGTTTTACCAAATAAAAACCTGAAACAAGAAGTCCAAATCGAGACCATTTCAGTTGCTCATAGCTCTTATAGTCATCACAAAACTAGCTCTTTATATTTTTATTCCCTTACAGATTTTGGTTTGGAGCTTGACCAGCCTGTGCTTGTCACACACACTCTAGTGTTTTACTTACCAGGTAGACTCCGATGCCGGCTCCTATAAGGTATCCCACATAGACGTCTATCGGGTGACTGCGGTGCTGAGTGATCTGCGTCAGCCCGGCGAGGCCCGCCGCCATGCAGTAAGCAAACACCAGCAGCGGCTTGAGGAGTTTGGTTGTGCTGCTAATGCTTGCATTGAAATACATCTGTGGAGAGAGGGCCAACAGGTTAACTTAGCACGCAGAAGACCTGCAGAAAGATGTATGGAGAGCGAGGTGGAAATGTCGTGAAAAGACATTTCTACACACAGCAACAAAGATTTGACCTTAAGAGTGAAAAGATTTACAGTGTACAGGTAAAAAAAAAAAAAAGTGGTGTGTTAATCTTACACTGGCCTTTTGAGATTCACTCGCAGGGAGCTAAAAGGGAAGATTGATTCCAATCTCATATCTGTCCTTTAAATATGTTAGTAGCCATTTCTCATAGCTTGGACCGAAAGCAGTAGCAAAAGCTAGCTAGCCTGGATCTGCTTAATGGAAAATACAAACACCAGAACCTCTAAAACTTCAAAAATGAATCTATTATGTCATTTAATCTGTAAAAAAATTATATATGATAAATTGTGGTTTTCCCGTACTACTTTTTGGCTTAGAGCAGTGGCTTCAAAACACCAAAACAAACAATCTTTACACATACAGATGAAAGAAATGCATACATCCTTTGATAACATTACTATTTTACACTTACATTATCAATAAAGACAAAAAAGTGTATACATTTACATGACGTAAAGCAAGACCACTGGTGTTATTTCACAAATGCATCGTGGTGGTGGAAGATGGTAGTGGTGTGGTAGTCGAGTGGCACATGTCGCTGGCCCCCTAGTGGTGTCCCACAGGACATGGCAGATGAAGCTGAACTTGTGGCACATGTCACTAAACTTAGAGCACATGTCGCTGGACTTTAGGCACCTGCCACTGCTCCCTGAGTGGCATGCCAAATGCCACTTTGCAATATCAGCACTGCTAGCTAACTATGCTCTCTCATCCATTCAGCATACATTTTTGTTGTTGTTGATTCCTTTGCAACTTCACCATGACAAGAATTCTCTTTAGAGGGAGAGATCTATGAAAACGCTGTAAACGGTACCATCTTAACTGATGATGTAGAACTTTTTAAAGAAAGAATTGCATGCTGCTATTTGAGATGAACTAGGTCCTTAAAACTGAGAGTAAAGAGGAGAGAAGAGAGGGAGGGTCAACGGAAGGCTGAGTGAGTATATGTACAGCTACATTTTATATTCTCTTCATGCACACTATATTTCATTTACATAAAAAGCAAGACAGCGGAGTGACAGAGGAGCCAGCTTTGCAAAAAATATCCATTTTAACAAGCCTGTCCATCTCGCATCGAGCATAGAAAGTCCTACTTTTCATGAAGCAAGACAGTTGGTGGGGAATCTGTCAGCAGGGTGACATTTCATATACTTCTCAAATGTTTTTAGAAGTGATTTGCCGAGTTTCTTCGAAATTCTTACGAGATAAAAATGGCAGAAACAAGTAGTGTATTTCACATTGAAATTTCCCACAAAGACATACAGCACATGTCCAAATGTGGTGTCAAAAGTCTGACTTTGGGGTTTTTGATGTGCTCTTTAACTTTGCAGAAATCACACAAATTGTTGTTTCTCCAGCTGCCAAATCAGTTGCTTCTCCCCCCCCCCCCCTTGCCTTTTCTCTCTCATCAGAAATCTGTCTTGTGAGCTTTAATGAGCTAGCTCTGCGCTCAGTGAGGCAGCAGTGATTCGGCCAGCAGCTCGCAAAAGCCATCAAGGCTAGAGGCTAGAGAGTTTGTGTTTGTGTGTGCATGTATGTGTGTGTGTGTGTGCGTGCGTATGTGTGTGTGTGTGTGTGTGTGTGTGCGGGGGTTAGAGCGAGCGAGAGGTTATTACCTCTAGGAAAAATGACAGCGCTACTTTGCCAAACAGTTCACAAACTGCTGCAGTCAGCGCTGGACTGCAGAATGGGTTAAAGTGCAACTATAACAACTAGGATGTAAATATAAGCACTAGAATGCAGTCTGACCCAGAACATTTTATGGTATTGAGTTCATGTGGAATTTAAACACACTTTGTAACCAGTTGGCATCGCAAAAAATGTAGTGCTGGGCAATTAATCGAGATTCAATTTTGATTATGGTTTGGGCTTCCCATGGTCATGTGTTTATTGTTATACTTGGGCCATATCACCACGGCCTCAAAAACAGAGTTTAAGTTCAATTGCAGATGTTTTATCAATCAATCAGTCTTGATTTAGATATCGCCAATTCATAACAAGTGTTCTCTCGAGACACTTTACAAAAAGCAGGTAAAAGACCATACTCATTGTTATATTTCAACATGCAGGTTTAAAATCTTTACTCATTGCTATATTACAAAGACCAATGTATTAATACTAAAATCAATGAATGTTTAATTATTGGGCTCTCAATATCAATACAAATATTTGTGATTTTAGTTTTTGCCATGATCGAGCAGCCCTGGCTGAATTAATCTAAATTTATTCAATTACTTGTCATATTTCCAGCAGGAGTTATCATCAGACACAGAGAATGGATAAAACATAAGGCTTACCATTGAAGGACGTATGTGCAACACATACATATTGCAGAAATCAATTATCCTATGTAAATGTCTCTCTGACTCATGACTGTCTACAATGAGCGAGAAGCACGAGTCTCTCTGGCCGTGTTGTTGTCAGTGCAGTGTTTACATCATGTTTACATGGACGCAACGGCTGACTCCTCCCCTTTTGACAAAAGCTCTTTTAGTCAAGGACTAGAGGAAAGAAAAACAACATTACCCACTCGCTGCTTATTTGGAGATCACGTAAGTGTGTTTTTATCAAGTGGAGGTCCCAGAATAGCGGAGGTGACGCCCCAACAGCAATTTGTTATGGTTTCATGATGGAGCTCAAGCGCGACATTACTGGATCAAAAAGTCGCACATTCTTCCTGCTGCTAGGCTAGGTAGCTAGTTCCATCATGTATTCATATGGCTTCTTGTTCTACAAATTACACAGATATTTGGCTCAATTTAGTATAGCGAACACTACCCATTGGTACATGGTGAGCCCCTCAAGTCTTAGACCAACCTCCTATTAGATAAACAGCTGTGATTGGCCTGACCTGAATTAGGTCGGATGGATATCTGTCTGAATGGGAGGGGGACCAGAGTTTTGTGCCAGAGCAAATAAAACACAAACTTGCAGATTCGTCTGCTTTCCAGGCTCGCCCGAGGACACAGAGGTCTAAAATCGACAAATGAGTAAACACTGTAATGCAAACATGAACTTTGTGTTAAGTGACAGTTATTGAATTCTGGCAAGAAGTCCTCTGATATGAAGGTTATAATTTGATGTTTCCACCAGCTACGTTTGTTAATTGAAAAAGGGGAGGAGCATCCAGTCGGTTATCATAAAGACAAATAATGGAGCAGATGAGCAATTTCATCAACTTGTGTTCATTTATAAAAGACGAGTGCCAAAACTAAATTAATCTGGAGTCGAATCTTTTGAGAGAAAAAAAGATCGCAGACACAGTCAGAGGTACAAACATGGCGTATAGAACACAGGAATACAGAAGTGCTTACTGAGATATAGACAGCAGCGAAGCCAGAGAGCGTTGCATGCTGGGACGGAAATGTTTTCCTGAGGGGAGAAAGGGGAAGAGTTAGGTGTGAAAAGAGTGAAGGCGGAGAAAAAAGATGAATATTTCCACACAAAAAAACAAAAAAAAAACTGTGTGGATTCTACGTTTACGGCTCTTTTAAATAAACCTAAGAACATCCGTCACGCTTGCTCGTGTTATTTTTGATGTCTAGATTGAATTTGACGTTGAACCTGAGTGCCTGCCCGGCTGTGTTTGTCAAACTGAGCGAGCATCATTGGATGTGAGCATTAATAAACAAACAGGATACTGTGGGGCATTACTAAGTAGAAACATTAAGGGGAGGGCAAATGAGTTATTGTCAAAGCCACTCATTTAGATTTAGATCAAACCAAATCCCAAATCTTGTTTAATTTCGCCTTCTGAGGCACTCTTCATTTCAGCGTGTTAATCTTTGTGAAGTGTTTACTTCACACTCTTTCTTACTCTTTTGTGTTTAGGATGTGAGGCTTCTGGTTCATCCGTCTGTCAAATATCTGTTTGAGACCTTAAGAGAGATAGAACTTTTTTAAAAAGTTAGCATATTTTAGCTTTTGATTATGTTTTAGGCCACGACTAGAATGACACTTGTGTTAGTTTTAGCTAATTGTTAGGGCTGGAACTAAGTTGTGATTATTATTTGGCATTTAGGAAAGAAAATGCTGAAAACAAATTGTTGAAAATCAGAGGAGAGGACTTTGGTGCGACTCACACATTTGTAAGGCTAAAGCTAGCTGTCAGTTAGCTTTCCTGCTCACAAACACTGGTCACAAAGAGAAGGCTAACCAGGCTGTTATCAACGGTAAGATGTCAACACATTATTGCGGAGGAGGCAGAGCATAAAGCACTCTGCCAATATTGATCATTACAGCTATAGAAGTGGAAACATTTGTTCATTTGTACTTCAGGGATAATCCCCGTATCAGCTATATTTAGCTGCAATCTTTTATGTCTGCATGCACTTACAATGCCTGTCTAATCGCCATACGCTGGAGCTTGACCTATGCCCTTTACTCACTGCTCTGCTAGAGAAGCTAACCTGAGCTTCAGCACCTGTGAGTACAACAGCTGGACACAAATGAACATTTGTAAGGACTTTGACGTCTCGCTGTATGAACAAACTTTAAAAGCAAACAATATTCAAACAAAAAATTCCCTCCTTTTGTGGCTAATCTCCTTTAATTCGGTCCAAACGCTAAAGAGTTTTGATGACTTCTGCCTTGTAGATTAAACAGTCCTGCAAGATTGTGACGTTTAGCAATGAACTGTGCACTAAATCATTTTTATCTTTGGGACTCAATTAAGTCTGCATCATTTTATGAAAAAACATTTGCATGAAGAGCAGAAAAGAAACATTTTTCAATATGTTATGCAAGTAAATGGTTCTAATGCATTAACTATAAAGCAAATGTATGCTGTATTCTTATTTAATGGAATTAAAACAGTAGACAACATGGGATTAAGGGCATCCATTTCCAGTAAAGTGAATTTATAGAATATATCGGTCTTCACAGGCTTTCTGTTCTTGCGTTGCAGCTTTGCATTTCATTGCTGATTTAAATCTTTCCACGTATGTGTGTGTCTCACCTCGCCGACATGATGGCATACTGGTCTTTCCCCATACATATGTCCCGTGTGATGTAGGCGTTGTTGTCACATGTCACCCCCGGCGCCGTGTAATTGGGCTGGCAGACGGTGAGGAAGAAAGGGGCGTGGTAACCGGTCGCTAACTGGATGACATCTGTCACCAAGGCTGTTGCCAGGAGACCGAACACATGAACACCTGAGGGAGAGGGAGAGGGAGACAGAGAGAGTTACAGGAGACAGATTCAGAGATGGTGAGGCGGTTTTGGTAAATGAACTAAAAAAACCCCTGGGGAGTTTCTACAAATTGAGCTGTTCATTTGTGAACACCTGCAGTGGAAAACAAGGCAGATTCTTTCCTCTGACAACCTGAAGTGACACCACAAACAGTTCAGTCTCTTCCATTATGAAGCTTTTTTTTGCAGACAGGGAAATTTGGCAAGGTGAATGTCTCTTTTCACTTCAAAGCTCCAATGTCAGCCTGCAGATATTTCCCGTGGAGCATTATATCAAGTCTGTTTCATTTTAAGTCACCCTTCATTTAATGCATGTAATTAGCTTATTTCAAGACACTGTAATGAAATTGTGTCGGGGGCTCAGCCGGTGAGTGCAATTACTCTCAGCCAAAACTGATTTCCATCTTAACAACGACAGCAATCGGTTCATAACTACTGACAGCGACATTTCCTCAGAATGTTAGCTGAATGGGTAACCAAACTACAATTAATCTGGGGACCTATCATTATTCTAAAACTGTATTTTCAATTATTCATCATCCACATGATGGCAATATTCATTGTATATTTTACATATTTAGACAGCTATGTAAATGCAGAAGAGCAGACTGGAATGTTCTTGCTCAACAATGAAAATGTGTGATCAACGTGAACGCTGAGGTGCCTCACAAACAGGCATGCAGGCAACTGTTTGGGACCCCAGACCAGTAGGGGGGACCCTGAGGGCTGACCATTTTTAAACTACAGCAGTGGCTGTAAATGGGCAAATTTTGCAATGAAAGTAGGAAAACCTCCCTAAGGGGGGCCCCATCTGACAGTACTCACCGTCATTGCCCTGCTTAGGGTTGCGTGCATTATAAATGCAGAAAAGCAGACATGAATGTTCTCGCTCAACCATGAAAGTGTGTGTTTAACGTGAACCCAGAGGCGCTGCTTCACAACAGGCAAGGCAGGCAACTGCTTGGGGCCCCAGACCAGTAGGGGGGGGATCCTAAGGGCTGACCATTTTTAAAACTACAGCAGTGGCTGAAAATGTGCAAATTTTGCAATGACAGTCGGAAACCTCCCTAAGGGGGCCCCATCTGACAGTACTTACTGTCATTGCCCTGCTTAGTGTTGCGTGCATTATTGCTTTAAAAAACAAAGTTTGTCAATGAAAGGCAACAAAGAGAAATGAAGAGGAGTTGTCTGTCTATAGGAGAGAAAGAAAATGGGAAATAAGAAGAGAATGCATCAGGGCACTGGCGGACATAATGGAGATGAACGCTGGTTAGAGGCCCCCCCCCAATTAATATTTGACTATAGTGCCCCAATAGTCTCTTGAATCGCCACTGCGTGAAAACATATTTGTACAGAATTCAAGCTTATAGTCAAGTATGACAGCTTAAAAATCACTTTTAAAAGATAGTAACTATACCACCTCTAATTTTTCCCTGGAGCAACTCCTCAAAGCTATTCACTAACCTTTAAAATGTTGTGGATCAGAATTTTAACTTTAATTCATTAAAAAAACAAAAAAAACTACAACTACAAAGAAGAGCCCTAAAGGACTGGTGGGTGGACGTACCGACAAAGCGTACGGTTCTGCGTAGGAAGGAGTTGAAGCTGCAGCCTCCAGCGTTGATGCTGCTCTCCGACTTGGGACAAGACTTCAGTTTGGATTGCATACAGTACATCAGGCCCTCCCCCATCATAATCTGTGAAGAGAGACGACGGTGAAAGGTGAGAGACGGGCACATTTTTGAAGATTCTTCCCCATTTTTGAAGATTTTTTGTCACATAAAAATGAGCAGGGAGGGCCAGAGAGAAAAGAGGCAAAAAGGTGCTGTTAGCGTCAAATATCCATTCCTGTGATTGTGATCTACAGTGAGCGAGAGGCACGGACAGAGAATGGAAGCAAGGTGCTATTGAATAGAGATCACTTCCAATCAGGGTGATAGATGAGTGTTGGAGAGGTCTGCTCGTTTCCATGCTGCTGATGGATTAGCAGTGTGAGTGTGTGTGTGTGTGTGTGTATTGATTTGGAAGGCCTATGGCATGTCCGATGGTGGGTATTGTAATGTCAGGTGTGTATTTATCAATGTTTGCATTGATTCTGCATTTCTGAGGGGAGATTGAATTTGCTTTGCGAGTGTTTGAGAAGCTGCACGTTTGTGTACCTGTGTGATCTATGTATTTGTCTTCTTCTGTGTGATTTGTGTGGAACCCACAGACAAACATTAGATCACTGATTCCTCTGTAATAACAGTATTATGGCTGTGACTCCAATACGGGGAGATTTTGTTCTTGGAAAGCTTCATTAGTCAACATTTTTACATGAGTCATGGGTTTAATGTCACTCACTGACAAGCCCACCAGGAAATCTCGATCAACTCGCTGTGAAGCTTTTTTTTTTAGCTTACTGTTTTGAAGTCATTTCTGCTTTCATCAGTTTCATTAAATAGACGCATCTAATGATGAAGATCTTTTCTAAGGAGTTGGTAGAAACCAAAACAGAGCAAAAAGGGAACGCTATCCTGAACTTACACTCACCAGGAGGTCAGACATTTTTTGGACTTCAGTGTAGAAACCGTTTATTTCATTTCAAACTTTTATTAGAACAAACAAACTCTATGAAATATGCTAAAACCGTAGATATTTATTCCCTATGACTATGGCTGTGGCTTAGTCCATATTTAAATGAGTTGTTGAACACAAACATTATCATGTAAAGGTCCATAAGTCAAGCTATCTCTGGAGGACATTTATTTCATGCTGTAAAATTTGATATCCAGTCCCACGGACATCCATCACTTGAAGTAAGATAGGCTAACATAAAAACTCATGTACCTGTGAAACAGCATTCAAAGACTTGACCAATGTTTTTTTTTCTGACTCTGACAAACAACTGGTACAAATATAAGATAATTCAATTAACTTATTTTCATTTTACCTGGAAACGTCCCCTCTAACCCCACCAACAATCTGCCTGTGTGTGTGCGGTGTGTGTGTCTGTGTGTGTGTGTGTGTGTGTGTGTGTGTGTGTGTGTGTGTGTGATTGACTTACGGATGCTGCAGGACCAGCGAAGGCCAAACTCAACAGCATCAGCAGCGGGATGAGCTCATCACCCGTTTCCACGTAGGGCATGGAGAGGTCACGGTCATGGCAACGGAAGCCCACAATGGCCGGGGCCAACACATCTGTCAGCTCCAGAAAGTACAGGGACACCAAGGAGGACAGGACGATGGGAAGCTACACGGGTACACACACACACACACACACACACACACACACACACACACACACACACACACACACACACACACACACACAATCCCACACAGGACAAGGACAAAGAGTGACTAGCATTTAATATTTGCTTTGAAAGAAGTGATTCATCCACTGTTTATCTCATCTCTCATCTAATACACACCTTCACACACCTTCACACACACACACACACAAATGAGATGAAGAAAGTGATGACACCATCATATTGTCTGATGAAACGCATCAAACTTCTTTCGGGAGAGGTCAGATGCATCATGACACAATCAGCCTAAAATCTGACTGTTAAAATGACTGTACAGTAGAGCGAGTGACTCAGCTTCTGATTGACTCAGTAAATATAGTGAGTCATCTCAACCAAGCAAAACAAATCTATTGATCAATACATCTAATCTGTCTACACTCACCTCGACGAAATAAAAGCATGGCAGCAGCGTCATGCTGTCTTTGGGCGGCTTCTTCTTGGCTTTGTTTTTGGGGGACGTCATCTTGGGGGTGGACCATTCACAGCCTGATGGGAAAAGAGATTTGAAGATGAGTTTTAGAGCACTTTTCTGGATTTATATCATCAATATGTGTAAAAGCAGCCAAAAAAAGAAAAAAAGTCCACGTTTCTGCCAGGCTTGGAAATATCTGATGAATGAAACATAGGCACAGTAAGTTTTCAAAGGCTGTTTCATGCTCAAAGGTTTAATGTTGAAGAAATGAAAATGAGTGAGTTTAATGAGTAATACCTTGCAATAGTCAGCAGAAATTAAACTGTGGTCTGTGCATATTTGTAAGTGTTTTTGGTAATGAGGTGAATTAATTCTTTCACACCCATACACGTCGAATAATTAAGCCCATAACTCTGCACATGCACTTTTAATGACCCCACAGAGTGATTTTCCGTCATGTTGCAGGTTATTAAGATGCCCTAAGTTGAAAAGTAGGGGTTGAAGTCATAGGGTAACTCAGGATACGATATGATACTATACGATACGTTACGAAACAATACCTTACCAAACGTTACGAAACACTACCAAACGTTATGAAACTTTACGAAACTTTACGAAACATTACAAAACTTTACGAAACATTACAAAACGTTCTGAAACACTACCAAACGTTACCAAACTTTACCAAACGTTCCGAAACATTACAAAACTTTACGAAACTTTACGAAACATTACAAAACTTTATGAAACTTTACGAAACATTACAAAACGTTACGAAACACTACCAAACGTGACAAAACATTACCAAACGGTACGAAACATTACAAAACTTTACGAAACATTACAAAACTTTATGAAACATTACAAAACTTCACGAAACATTACAAAACTTCACGAAACATAACCAAACGTTACGAAACATTACCAAACGTTACGAGACATTACCAAATGTTACGAAACATTACAAAACTTCACGAAACATAACCAAACGTTACGAAACATTACAAAACTTTACGAAACATTACAAAACGTTCCGAAACACTACCAAACGTTCCGAAACATTACAAAACTTCACGAAACATAACCAAACTTTACGAAACATTACAAAACTTTACGAAACATTACAAAACGTTACGAAACACTACCAAACGTTACGAAACATTACGAAATGATACAAAACGGTACGAAATGTTACGAAAAGTTACAATACAATATGTGATATTTGATGCATGATTCTTGGACCAAGATAACGCCCTCTACGGTGACCCTGATATAAATGATTTATTGGAAGACAATCACATGATGATGCATCGCGATATCTGATTTAGTGCCCCTAAAAAGGTAAAGTGCGGCACAAATGCTGCACTGCAGTTTAATGACAGTTTCATCTTATCATGCTTTATATCTTAACTTCTTTTTGCTGCTGTCCGACTTTATCCCGCTGTCCTCTTTTGCTTCTTTTAACCCGCCTTCAACTTCTTCTATTGCCAATTAATTCTCGATCATGTTGCCCTCATTCATGTCATTAGCAGCACTGCGAGGAGTCATGAGGTGGTAAAGTGATGTGTCCAATTGGTGGTGGAATCAGTTAAGAGCGAGGTCATTTTTTAAATAAAAATATTAATATTTATAGAACCATTATTGTATTACACGAGCCAGGAGGACGATATATTGCAGCATCGATACTTTGTCCCACCCCTTTTGAAAAAGTACGTAGAAATCTACAAACAGAACAAGAATTCATTTAAAAGGAAGCTTTTAACTTCCATGAGGGAACACACTCTAAATGTATCGTCCTCACAAACACACTCGCATACGTCTCCTGCTATCAGTAACCTGAAGGCGATCAGAGGCCTCAGAGAGAAGGAAGAGCCAAGGGCCCAAATGGAAAACTAAACAGAGTTAAATATTCACATCTCTCCCTCCAGCTCCCCGTTTCTCTTCATTTTCTGCCTGTACTCCTATCTGTGCATCTCTATCCTTTATCCATTCCCCTCCATCTCTATCACTCAATCTCATGCTCATAACCTCTCCCACCTCTCGCTGTGTTCCATTTTACTTATCACTCTCTTCATCACAGTCCATCTTCTCCCTCTACTGTGCCTTCATTTTACACTTTTCTCTTGACGTTTTTTTCTCTCTCCTATATTTCATCTTGCTTCCTACCAAACGTTTCTTTCATTTGTTTGTTAACTTGACTTTGAATTAGATTAAATTGTACTACATTGTACTACAGTTTCGCCCAAACTGTGAGCTGTGTCATTCTAAGCCCCTGTGAGGAGTTTTTAGCTGGTAATGAAACAGAAATATTAAAACTGATGCCTCCGAATGACCCAAAAAAGCAAACAAGACCACCAGGTTTAAAGATTCAAGATTTTGTACATGTCACACCTGCTGCACGGTAGGTGTCAGACGAGGCCATTGACAGCAGCTACAGAAACTGCCATTTCAAAAATGTATTGTGTTTGTCCAACTGAAAGTGGAGTCCCCCAAAATTGGACCCAAGTGATTTAACCATGCCCTACAAACGCTTGAAACTGGGTGTCGAACATGAATGCCTAAGAAAGCCGCCATTTTTTTACTGCCTTTGGATATCGCCATAAGCACGACAGATAACGTGCTTCTCAATGTTACCAAATGTAAAGCGTAGAGTCTGTATGAAATGTACAGAGCTGTGAAGTTGTCCATGTTTTCTCTGTTTGACATACAACCAGTTTACTGCTCGCTAACTCGTTTGTCAATTGTTTGGCGTCTGACGTAATAGGTCAACTGGAAGAAGGTCAACTGGAAGAAGGTCAACTGGAAGAAGGTCCAATTGTAACTAGTTGAAAGGGGGCACTGTAGTGGAGTCAGACATACTTCCAATCGGGGAATCGATTCTTCTTCGATGCTTCTATACTGGGACAAGGACAGTAGTCCAATGCCTCAATCGAACAACAACCATAGCTCAACTTAAATGTGCATGTAAACTTACTGAATGGGAGTTGCACATAGGACATTTAAAAGGAAGAAAGTTGAGATTTTGTGGGGAAAAGACTTTGTACAGGACACACCCAATCGTCCCACTTTGTAGGGTTCACCAAAATCAACACAACCTGAAAATTCCCTCACAGGAGCTCTACCATATACTATTGAAAATGGGTTTCAGTGGAGCATTTGGTCACCTATGTTTGTGTATTTTGCCATTTTGTACTCTGAGTGTCCCTTGATTTAGTCACACATTATTTTCCGATAAAAGGCTGGTTTTAAAGGAACATGAATTGAGCTGTACTGAGGCTTCAAACCAAAACCCATTGCCCTGAAAGACCCTTCAACTGGCTTAGAAGTTATCTAGGCATTTCAACCTTTTTTTTTTTCTGGCTTTGACGTCCTTTTCCCTTCTTTACTCTCGCTCCATCTTATTTGCTAAGCTGTTTTTATTGCTCTCACCTGCTCCAAACCTGCCCTTCGTTCCTGTCACTCTTAAGTCTCTTTCTACAAATCCATCCCCGCTGTCTCCACCTTACACCTTTTCCTTCTCTTGCTATCTGTCCCTCCATGTTAACACCCCCTCTCCCCTTCTTTTCTATCTCCTTCCTCCTTTCTCAGCATCTGTCTCTCGCTCTTTCTCTCCCAGATAAGAGGCCCTGACCCTGAGGCGGTGTACGGCACGGAGAATCAAAGACTTCTACGGTCTAATTTCCATGACCGCTAGAAATGAAGAGGAGAGGAGAGGAGAGGAGGAAAGGAGACGAGAGGAAAGAGGAGCAGACGAGAGGAGCGGTAAGGAGACGGGAGGAGAATAGGAAAAAACAGGGGACAAGATAAGCTGAGATCAAAGGCGTAAGGAAGGGAAATGATACAAAAGAAGAGCAGAAGACTGTAGCTTCAGTTTGTGTACTTCTGCTAGATGTGTACATCTGATGGGGGAGGGAGGTTAGTGGGGAGGGGGGGGGGGGGGGGGCGGATCAGAGACGGGGGGGATATTGGGATGGATGGATTCCAGTGTAGCTGAAAGCAGCTTAGGAAGACACAGGGTCCTGGGTGTCACTCTCCCGGACCCTTGGTCTCAGTGACCTACTCCAGTCATCATTTAAACCTCAACCCCCTAAACTCACAGCACACACACACGCAAACACACACAGACTTACACAGACTCACACAGACACACACACAAACACACACATGAAATGAGCCTCTTTAGTGAAGAAAAGGCCCTCGTTTATCTATCACACCAGCATTTGTCCTCTGGGGCACGACATATGTGTGTGTGTGTGTGTGTGTGTGTGTGTGTGTGTGTGTGTGTGTATTATGTTTATTTGTTTGTGTGTGTGTGTGTGTGTGCGTGTGTGTGTGTGTGTGTGATTGCAAAGTATTTGCGTGCACAGTCTGAGCATCTCTCTGCTGGCGCTTGCAAACATGTCAGCAGTGTTTGCATGCGTTTGTAGTTTAGGCAGTGTGTGCACATTTCGTTTGTGTGTGTGTGTGTGTGTGTGTGTGTGTGTGTGTGTGTGTGTGTGTGTGTGTGTGTGTGTGTGTGTGTGTGTGTGTGTTTGAATGAGATGGGTTGTATAGCCTGAGGTAGACAGCAACAGTCCGTCAGAAGGGAGGAAGATACAAGACTCAGTGACCAGACTCACAGAGAGGGGGGGCGGAGGAGGGGTGTTTGAGGAAGAGTCTAGAGCAGTAGTGTGGTGTTGTGTTGCACAGTACAGTGTAGTGTGTGTACTCCAGGCGTGTGTGTTATTGAGAAGTGTAGGTTATGATGATATGGTGTAGTCTAATATGCAAATATGCCCAGTAGCCTATATAAGTGCACTTTTTATTGTTTAACTTCCTTTGAATGCGTCTGTCTGGATTTGACTACTTCTGTGTTTTAAGAAATATTTTCTCTCTTTAACGTTTTATTTTCTAAATTGTTCCGACCCCTTTTTCATTCTCTTATCTCGCTAGGGGTGTTGAAATTAATCGTTTTTGCGATGCACTGTGATGCAGAAGTGGACAATTCTGCATCGATGCAGTGACAGAACATAATCGATTATTGCACACTGACGTTGCTTGTAGAAGCTCCAGATACAGCTGGACCTAAATAACTCATTTATTTCTGGTTACAGTGTAAAGACATTTACACTGACATTGATTTCTTCAGCACTTAAATACTAAATACTATAAGGTTATAAGGTTAAATACTATAAATTGGAGTTCGTATTTATCTAACTGCTTGTCTTCATTGATGAAAAAGTAGCCATCTGAGGTATTATAGAAAAATTGAGAATGTGACTGATTGTGATATCGAACCGAATCGTGACACCAGAGAAGATGTACAGCCCTCGCCTCTCCTCCTTCTCTTTACTGTTAGTGTTTCTGTCTGTTATAATTGCTCATATGTTCTTGCATCTTTGGTCACCTTAGTCTCAGTGTAAGTGGCTGGGTTCTTGTGATGTTTGGGTTAATAATAATGGTCAGGCTTTTGGGCTGGTTCTTTTACATTTGGTTTCTTATGCTTTGTTCTTCTGTATGCCTCCATATGTATGTCAGAGCACTTTCTTAACCCCTGATTTCAAAGGTTCTATAATTAAAGTTAATGTCATATATATTATTTTTACACTGAAATATACACACCGGCGACAGATTTGAGGGAAACTGTGTGTCGGACCACCAGAAAAGCCTGTTTAGTCTTTTGATCTTTGTTCAAGCATGATTTGGAGAATGATTTCTAACATTCTGATCAAAGAAAGTCCTGAAGGTGTCAAGACCCAGTGACTCAGCTGAACACCTCTCTTCATCCTCATTAAATCATTCAGTGACCTCTCATGCCCTGTTGAGAAGCATCTCCACTCTTTCATCCCATTACCATATTCAAAAAAAAAAAAAAAAACAGACTGTTTGGAATGGATCTGAAGTAAGCAGACAATTAATGAGTCAGCCGACAGAAAATAATCTGAAGCTATTCATCATTAATGTCATTTCTGAGAAAAAGAGCGGCAACTAAGGCTGGCTACACTCTTGACAATGTTCAATTCTGAACCGATTTTAAAAGCAGGGAGACCACAAGGACAACCGATCTTTAACATTAAACATTTAACAATTTCGTAGTAGCAATTCGACAGACACGAGATCTCACAGAAACTTGCTTGATCAAACGTGACTTCAGAAGAAATATAAACATGGAGGACGATCTGGGTCGTCGGCTAGCTGTACAGGCGTCAATCCGTTTGGCAACAACAACAAAAACTGAAAAAGAATATTGTTGAATCTGGCTGAGAAGACAGAATAGGTGCTTTATGTTCACAGCCACGTTTGTGAGCTGTCTGATTTGGTGACTCGTCCTGGTCCGCTCTCCTTTTCTATATCCCATCGGAGGCAGCTAGATATGGAATGGTAATTATCAAATAGGGTTGATCAGGAGGGCTCAGAGTCGATCAGGAGCAGTAAAGTAATGGTATTGACACCACCACTTGACGATTTTTTGGACAAATAATGGGTTACTACAAGGTTCAAACACACACCCCCCCTCCAAAGATCGGGCCCAAAATCTGATCGGGTTAGTGTGTAGCCGGCCTGAGTATTATGTTCCTAAACGTTGGAGTTGGATTTTATGAAAGTGGAATCAGAGACTTTAATAGAAAATTACTGAAACATATAAACCATATTCTATAATTGCAAACTATTTGATTTACTAAAAGTTGCAGCTCAACCTGAAATCTTTGGGTTATGAACTGTTGCTTTGACTGAACTAGAAATCCTCACGTGCTCTCTACAGTATTGAGATCATTATTTTCATTTTAATCAAGAAAATCGTATTCCGATCAATCAATATTGACAAAGATCATCATTTTCAGTCATATAAATGAAGAGTGGGGCAAAGGACTTTCACTTTTTGGATTTGGACTTCATGGAATCTAGCTAAAACTATTTCTTCACAACATTGTTTTGCTCAGTGTTTTGATGGGGAAAAAAAGCATTATCCGTCCATCTGACATGAAAATAGTGTTGGAAAAACTGAATCATGCAGAAGGAAAAGAGAGTTCTTCTTTGAAAACTTTTACAATTCTAAAACTTTACAATTCTAATTCGGTGATGTTCAATCCAGAAAAGCACCCAATTATATGTCAGAAGAAAATCTATTCAGCCTATTACCACATATCTAATGGATTCCATGGTCTCTCCCTCGGGCCATTGACGAAGCATTAATCAGAAAGTTAAGTCGCTTGCTCTTTTATTGACCCCTGGCTCACAAACATGAAGTTGAAAATTTGCAGAATGAAGTGATCATAAAGTGCAACAGGGCAGTTTATCTATTGTCCATACATTATTTACTCATCCATGCATCCATCCAGCAGGAAAGTTACAGTGCTGGCTGCAGATCCATGTCCTCTGCAGGGCCCTGAGGAGGCAGGGACACATACACAGCCATATGCTCGACTTGATGAGGAGGAGGGTTTAAAAACACTCAGCTCATCACCTGCTTGTACGCTGATGGAAACAGTTCAAACATCGCTCTGAAATGCCTATAATCCTAATTGGATTAAGTGAAATAAAATGACTCAGATTGGAGGCGATGGCTGCATCTTTTTCTGGAGGGAACACACGTTGTTTTTTTTTTTCTTCACATGCAATTTGCTTAACTTGCTATTTTCTCTCTGTGCAAATCATTGGAGGTTAGAGTAGCCATGCACTGAATGAAAAGGAGCCACAGTCAAAAGGAGCACACTCCTGCACAGGGCTAAAAATGATAACACGTCCGCTGTTACACTTCCATAATCGGAAATCGCCAGATCGCGTATGAGATCATCAATTATGGAAACGTGAAACCCATGTGCTGAGGAGCGCGGGTTGGGATGCTGCTGGTGGATGCATGCAGAAGGAGGAGAGAGAGAGAGAGAGAGAGCGAGAGAGACACGCCACAAAAGCCGCCGGACCAGCCCGAGCACTCACCTCTGTCCCGGGGGCTCCGCGAATTCACCGAGTCCCGTCGCCCCCTTCCCCCCCGGCGTGGTCGCGCGTGCTGCTCCAGTTTGGCGGCGCAGTCTCCCTCTTTCTGTTTAATCCATCTCCATGCGTCTCCCCGAAAAAAATCCAAACACACCTTTCTCACTCAGTATTTTTAAGACCTCTGAGTGAGGCTATTCCTGGGGAGGAGGCTCGGAGAATGGGGGGGGGGAGGAGGTTGGATGGGGAGTAAGTGGGTAGACCAACAGAGGAGGAGCAGGGATGGAGAGAGGACAGTGAGAGAGAGAGAGAGAGAGGGAGAGAGAGAGGAGGGTTGCTGATGGTGGAAAAGTCCAATTTGCTGCACTTGCTCGCTAACGCGCTCCTCTTCTTCCTCCTCTCCTCTCTTGGCTTTTGAAGAAGTGAGAGCTTCACGTGCGTTTTTCCCCGGTTCCTCCCCTTCACTTGCACCTGCAGGTTCTCCTATTTCCCATTGAACAAGTAACACGATCAAATTTGAAATCCCAGAAAGAAAAAAAAAGCTTATTTTGTACGCAAGGCATCCGTCACACGGTTTTTCGGGTACGCAGTCAGCTTCACGGTGTGCGCACACACACACACACACACACACACACACACACACACACACACACACAAACACACACACACACACATACACACATACACACAAAGGCAAAAGACACGGGGGCCGAGCAGGGCTGTGGAGGCGAGGGGGAGGAGAGAGAGAGAGTGTGGTGTGTGCGCTTATACGATGGGGGGAGGAGACAGTCTGGTCCACACACACACACACACACACACACACACACACGCTCCCCTCTCCTTCACTCCTTGCTTGGATTCCTGTTTCGGGGCGACCGCCGAGACAAAGGGCTGGATTCTGGGAGTGTGTGTGTGTAAATGTGTGTGTGTGTATGTGTGAAGTAGCTGAACGCAGCCTGCGCATGTGTGCGTAAAAAGCAAAGGGTGGGGGGGGGGGGCGGTTTTTGGAGATAACCTCTCGTCTATAATCGAGAGCCAATTTCACTGTAATTACAATATTAGCCACGGCATCAGATACGCCTCGAGCTCCTTTAAGAAGCTTCCCTGAACTTCTGCCTCTTGTTGAGGTGCTGATGGGCTCAGATATATGTCAGCCTTTGTTTACCCTATGTGTAAATGTGTGTGTGTGTGTGAAGTAGCTGAACGCAGCCTGCGCATGTGTGCGTAAAAAGCAAAGGGTGGGGGGGGGGGGGGCGGTTTTTGGAGATAACCTCTCGTCTATAATCGAGAGCCAATTTCACTGTAATTACAATATTAGCCACGGCATCAGATACGCCTCGAGCTCCTTTAAGAAGCTTCCCTGAACTTCTGCCTCTTGTTGAGGTGCTGATGGGCTCAGATATATGTCAGCCTTTGTTTACCCTATGAGAGGGTGTGGCATGGTCTGACCACTGTGGTGCATTTGGATTCCCCCGGTAGGAATCGATCGCACACGCTCACTTTAATAGCACCTACGTTACGTCGACCACATTCACATTGAGATCACAGACACCTCCGCGATTCACTGACTCACCACGAGTGACATTGCGGCAATTAACATCAGAGAGGCGGCTGTGTACTTTTTCACGTTTGCGCGAGTGAGTGAGGTGTGTTTGCGGCCCGTCGGTTCAGGAGCATGTGCGTGCGTGTGGAGATGTTCTCCGTGAAGGATCTATATCTTTTCCACCCCCACGGTTATCAATTCTTAATGAGGCTGATAACTGAACTTAAACGCCCAGTTAGCGCACATATTTTTTCTTTTTTTTTTTCTTTAGGGATACCTTTTACATCACAATTAGAAGACAAGTTGTGATACATTCAGGGACACTTATTATTACCTGTGCAAACTAATTTGAGCAGGAGGAAGTCACTTGCTGACCAGCCTCCAATTGTTTTACACTCATTCACATATTTACCCACAGAGCACCTCCCTCCCTCTCCTCTCTCTCTCTCTCTCTCTCTCTTCCCCCCCCTCTCTTTCAATCTCTGTCATTTGGCTCTGTGTCGCTGCTGCTCACTGCTACATGAATGGGGGCGCCCCATTTGGTGTTGATCCTGTCTCCAGTTGCCAGGGAGTTTCTCTGGTTCTCATGGGGTACTCCCTTGTGTCTGACTCCCCCTCCTTTCCCCCCCCCTTCCCAGAGCCCCCCACCCAGACATCATCACACACACACACACACACACACACACACACACACACACACACACATAGACACACACACACACTGCCACCCACCAATAACACCCAAGGGTTGGTCACAGCTGGCAGCAGCTAATAAACTCATCACTCACAGTGCCTGGCTCCTATTTACCTACTAGACAAAGCACGGCAGAGATAGAAGGAGAGGGAGGGAGGAGTACATGTGTGGTGGAGGTGGATGAACGCTCGCTTTTGCAGCTTCCCACGGACTTCACCTTTCAGTTAAGGTGAATTTGGTCACAGCTGCAGCGCCTCAAAGATGCAGAAATCACCACGTTTGTATTCTTTTCTTTTCATACAGTTGGCGCACTATCAGCACTCTCTTTGCTATAAAAAAAAAAAAACACAGTTGGATGGTAATTGATTGCCGGAAGGTTGGATGTACATTTGGGATTCTTAAGTTTGATTAAAATTCTTCTTGACTGCTGTTCACACATGTGACCCAATTACTTCATGTGAGCAAAAGGCCGGCCATCTTTGCTCAGAAAATACACGTGGATGTGTAGGTGTCTGCATTGAAAGCACATGTGCATGTTTGCAAGGCTACAAACAAATAGCAGACAAAAAACAGACATTTAACTTATAAGTTGCATGAAAGCTTCTACTTAGGTAGATTTCTGCTGAGTATTGTGCATGCACAAAACCTGCATACAATCTGATTGATTTTTTTTAAGCAACTCATCCCCTCCACCCCCCCCGACACCTGACAAAGAGCCTATTGTTTATTTTATCACAAGGGCGGATCTAGGCATGTGCGAGGGCTCGCGAACATGTGTTTGATTGGCTTCATCTCCGTGTGATTATCTTCACTTTATACAGTCTGGTCGATGCAGCAGTGCTAAATCATCAGCATGCTTCTCCCATCTCTCTCTCTCTCTCTCTCTCTCCATCATCCTCTTCAAACATCCCACACGCTGTTAGCTCTCATCGGTACTGAAGAATTATATTTGCGGTATCAATTTCAATTCTCTCTTCAGTAAGTGTCAGGTGTCATGTACACGCTTCAGTTTTTTTCCACTGTGTCAGAGAAATAATGTTGCTGTGATAATGTGGTTAAAAAATGTGCACCTTGAATATTAAATACATGACTGTGAAACACTACAGATGAAATGTGTAACAATGGGTCACTCTGGCATGTAATCTAGGCCACTGCTTCATGTGGGGACTGAAGTGTGACTGACTGGCAAATATACACGAGAGCACAAACACAAACACAGACTCAGGTAATACATGACACACATCCAAAAGGTTGTCTATCTTTAGCATCAAACAGCTCAATGGGAGAAACGTTTTCATCACACATTCCCCAACAGGAAGTCGCTCTCTGCAGGTATCTGCACTCTACATTTGGTCTGCCCACAGGGAGACGTTCAAGTGCCTCTGTGTGGCTCAACGCTGCCATTACACGACAAGTTAAGCAATGCTGTTAACCCCCCAGATGGAGCGGTACTTGAACGTCCTCATAAGACATAAGAGGCCTCAGGAATACTGGGGTTTCTTTCAGGGAGTCTGGGACACTTTAGTTCAATGGGACTTCAGGATTCAGGACTTGTGTTCACAGCAGATAAAAGTAGATGTCTCTTTTCAGGATTCAAGACTCAATAAGTTACCTTGTGACACAGTGGTTCATTTCAGGGCCATTCAAGTTCAAACCAGTTTTCTGATAGGATAAACAACATAAGCTCCCATTATTTCTAAATAGATCAATTCTTAAGTAATCCATTTGTCACCTTAAATCAGATGTAGATTTATAGATGCAGGACATCATTTATATAAACTTTATACATCTGATCCTATCCCTGCATTTCACTGTGCTGCATTATATCACTCAAAAGCAAGGCCGCCCATAAGGGGGGTCTTTCTGGGCCCCAGAGACATTTGGGGGTGGGGTTAAAATTAGGTTAAACAATGGTCATTCAAAATTTAAGCAATGATCACCTTTTTTTTTAACCAAATTACTCACCATTATTAACACAACATATTTTATTATTGTTGCATGTATCAAAATGTAACCCCTCTTCTTATAATTGATCAGCACTTTGGTCAACTGATGATGTTTTAAAGGTGCTTCATAGATAAACTTTGACTTGACTTGAATTGTATAAGCCTGAGCCTATTTTTTTTTCACATCCAACACCCATGTATTGATATTATTAAATGCCATCTGCGGGGGGCCCATATACTCAGCCATTTGAATTTTGTCAGAGGACTTCCTGCTAAACATGAGGCTGAAAATGAATTCACACCATACATCAGATATTTGGAAGTTTCAAGTTACAGTATCACTTTGAATGAGTTCCTCTTTAAAAGACACTTGCTAGTTCTTTAGTGTTGTTATACACAGAAAAAACAATATTCTGTCCTTTTTGCAGCCAACATTTGAGATCTATATTTTTTTAAAAGAGGCGGTGTGTTTAGTGTATGTAGATACAAGTTCATGTGTATAGTGAGGGCTGTGGGGGCTTAGAAATGACTGTACTGGTCCTAACAAACCTGTTACCTGTAACTTTATGACACACATCATGTATAAAAACTATATAGTGATACAACAGATGCTATTTTTTCCATTCTCAATGAACTGATGGGTTAAAATTCTTATACAATTTGACAAGATGTACTTGAATATGGTTCATTGACATAGCCTCCTTACTACTCAAAGCACTTTTACACCACAGGTCACATCGTACACTGATGACAGAGGCTATGTAAAGAAGGAACTAATCCCATTCACATTCATACGCTGCTGACAAAGCAGCAGGAGCAATTGGGGGTTAAGTGTCTCTCCCAAGCACATCGCATGTGGCTGCAGGAGCTGGGAATTGAACCCTGACCTTCCAGTTGAGCGTCGACTGACTCTATCAACTGAGCCACAATCTTCTCGATGCACTCTTTATTTTCTAACCTCTCATATTCTCCTGGTGATTTATGCAAATGTCATTTGTGGGCAATTTGAAGATATCTTCTACAAACATAGATGAAACCTATCTGCAAAATACTTGTACACTTTTCACCTTAATACAGTTTCTGTTAGTGATTTGTTTGCTCCAGTACTTTCTTTGGATTCTGCCTGTGTGAAGGAGTCCTTTGAATTAGATTTGTAAACATTTATTTTATTGACTGAACACTTGTGCACAAGGTGTTTTAATAGCTGTGTTTGATTGAGGCCAAATGTCTCAGTCATGTGCTCAGTGTTCTCAAATAAAGCTTTAGGACAGTGTTGTCATAGCGTCCATTTACACTCAAAATATGAGATCATGCAAGTAGATAAGTATATAAATGTTTATTTCAAAACATGAGAATGGTCATTATGATAAAATTCAATAATATGCTGATACAATTCTTTTTTTTTTATAAGGGATAGATTGAAAAGTATTTGTTTATATATCAAGTACAACAAGCTCTTTCTCTTTGAAGAATAAAATAAAATAGATTTTTTTTTTCCTCAGACACCATGGCATGTGAACACGACCACTTCACACCACAGCGACGTTTGAAACGTTTAAATGTACAACCAGTAGCACTTTGAAAGTTCGCTTTCAGTGAGAGCAGTATCACGTTCAGCTGATTTGTTTGGCTCAAATCTCAATCCACAAAACTCTCCGTTTGTCCATAGCCGTGGGAAGCAGGGCTACAGCGCCCTCTGCTGGTTGGCTGAGTTATTGAATAAAAATCCAATCCAGTCCGCCTCTGCACAGATTCTCTCTCTGTCTCTTTTCATCCCATCAATCCAGGTTTTTGACATCACGTATCACACTTACTCCACTTTTTTTTTTTTTTAGAAAGCAAAAATATGATGCTTTATCTGAGTGCAAAAGGTGTAAAAGTCTATTTCAAAAAATGTTATGACAAAAAAACACCACGTGAAGTCTCGCTCATCGGAGCTCACTCAGATCTGCAGAGATAGTGAATTTGTAAACATCCTTACAGTGTGAATCCATGCAAAATACAGCCTAGTGCAATATTTGCAAGTTGGCAGACTCATGATGCGTTTCCTTAGTGATGAACACGACAAACATTTTCATTCGTAATGAATGGCATGTGTTGACCTCACTCCCAAGAAAAACATGTAACAGTTTGGGAATTTGAGACTAACATTAGAACTTTTATCCGATCTCACTTTTTTCCATTTCGTCACACAAACATGACACTGACACCCTCTTTGAAATAGAATCTAGATTTACACTACAGCACTTTGGAGAAGGGAAAGCTATTTGAAGCACTGATACCCCGAATACAAATCGGTGATCCATGCTTGCAGCGAATGATGCACAAATAACATGTCAATCCTAAAAAAAAAAAGAAAAAGAAAAAAGAAAAAAGTGTGATTGGATCTGCAACAAAAAAAAACACCCGACCTAGGCAAGTGCAGGGATTTTTCCTTAAAGGGCTACTGCTAGTGATTTAGTATTGCATAAAGTTAATGGACGCACAAGAGATTAATTGGAGGTTGAAAGAAAAGAAGGGGAGTCAAAACTGAAGGACAAAACATAACCTGGATCGTAATCGAAAATACTGAACTTAAAAATGCTGCAGCATGTTGAAGGTTAATGAAAACACCATCATACGTTCTTAGAATGTCTTCTGTCTCTTATGAAGGTCAGTTTTTTGAACCACAGATGTGACCACACGATGAAACAGCTTTAACAGTCTGAGTGTCACTCCTTATTATGACTTGTTTACTTTCACAGTAACACTGGAGTCACATGGTAGAAATGGAACTCATGCAATCAGAGGAAAATTAGCAAATCAAAGCTTCTGTTAGGGAACGGATCAGTTTGATGGTGCAAGGCTCGCAAGTTTGCGAAACTTCATTCAATCTTTATTTGGAGCGCCAATGTTACTCGAGACACTCAACAAAAAGCAGGTAAAATGCCGTACTCTTTGTTATCTAAAACAACAAAAGAGCAGGTAAAAAGACCTTACTCATTGCTATATTACAAAGACCCAATGTTAATCCATCATGAGCGCAGCACTTAGCAACATTTAGCAAAGTTACAGTGGCAAGAAAAGATGCAGAAATCATGAGCAAAAAGCAGGCTCAGGCTGTTGAACCAGGCTCACAATGAACAGCAATCTGCCAGGCAGTGTGTTTGACATAGAAGTATTTAGTTGGTTAATTCTTTAGTTGTTACCATGGTGAGGACAATACAAACAAACACAAGGTATGAGTGTGATGATGCGGTCTTTGTTTCTCATTGGTACATTGTTTCTGGGCTTCTACAGACTTTCTTCTTTTATTTTTCACATTTTTTGGGAAGTTATTACTTATAATACTTTTCATTGTTACATTTTCTGCCGCTTGCACTCATGTTCAAAAGGATGATTGATGCATGTGCGTTTGTAAAAATGAGGTTTTAGTTTTCGGGTCTTTTGACATTCGGGCTCACTTTGACGTCTCTGTGCTCTTGTGGCGTTGTGTCTTTGTGTGCTTGCAGGCCTCCTCAGACGTTCTAAGAGGCCTTACTGTTAATCAGCTTTCATTTGTCAAACAGCTGTGGTTGATGGTTCCACATATGAATTACTTGTCATCTCCATGAGCACTGATTGAGCATTGTTAGCCTGGTTATTATGAAACTTTTCTCACATTTGAACTTTTGGCTTTAATTCCACAGCTCAGATAGATTTTTATGATTCCACGGACTGTTAACTTTTACTTGTCCTTTGATTGCAGTTTAAGGTTTTAGTTTGGAGTTTGAGAGAGTGTGGAGGGTGAATATTAGGAGGTAACATTGAGTGATGGCGTGAGTTAAACTATACCGTGTTTATTCAGCAAGCGTGCCCTAAACTCAACCCATTCCAACAAAGCCATCTTCCCACGGCTATGCGAGCGCCACCTGTAAATCCCGCACATCAGGGTCCTCTCAAAGACATTCAAGTTCCACTGCTTACACCTGATTGGTTGGTTTTTGTCCTGTCCAAAGTGTTCAGCGTGCTCGACAGGTTAGCCTTCTGTCTGTCCAGGCTAGACGTGTTCCGTGATTGGACAGTAACATTTCCAGCGCCTGGTTGGTTGACTCGACTTCGCTCCAAACTTGTGGAAGTGCGTGAATGGACAGTCCTCTCTCCTGCCAGAGTGTTGACAGAACGTAATTGGTTGGCTCTCCCTCTGTCCAAACTGTTAACTGTGTTTAATTGGCTGCTCCTGCCTTGCTCCAGAGTCCCAGGACCGCCTGATTGGTTGGCTCTCCCTGTCTGCTGATTGTTCAGGGTTTGCAGTTGGCTGGTCCTGTCTCTCTCGGGGAGTTTCGGCTGAGTGGAGCTGCTTCTGTCCGTGTTAATAGTCTGTATCCTCTGCCTGTCCCTCTCCCTTTCCAGACTGGTGTCCCTGCGCACAAGACCGCTCCTCTCCCTCTCCAGGCTGCTCTGGATCTCAGCCCTCCTGGCCAGAGCCTCCCTCAGCTGGGTCCTGAACGTCTCGATCTTCCCCTGCAGGTCCTGGAGCTCCCCCTCCCACATGCTGGTCTGAGCCGCCCTGTTTCCCAGCGGAGAGAGAACCAAGCCAGAGGACGCCAGTGTAGACACCGGCCCCCCGTTAGCATGGAGGCTAATCTGCGGAGGGGAGGCGAAACTCCCCATGCCGCCTAGCCCGAAGCCTCCAAGACCGAGCCCAGGTCGGCCCACCATGCCGGGCCTGCCGCGCACAGAGGCGGTGTGTGTGCGCAGGCGGTAGCTGTGTAAGGTCTCCAGGTCGAAGTGCACACGTTTCTCCTTGGGCTCATGCGATGGGGAGGAGTTGTTGGTGTCTCCGGCTGTGGTGGAAGCGTCGGGGGAGTTTGGAGGAGACCCGGGTGGAGGGTGATGCTGTTTCCTGTGCAGGGTGCAGTTCTCTGAGATACAAGAGGAAGGGCTAGTGAAAGAGAGGAGGATCAGAGCAAAGAGCACATATCCAGTGAGAAATACTTCACAACAGGATGCATGAATATATTTAGATACAAACAAACTGCAAACACAAATACAAACTGTATAAGAAGGATCTGATCTGAAATACTGCTGTAAATGATGAACAACATGCATGCTTTAAAAAGAAGATGTGTGTTATTTTAATGCTCTGTACTGTTCTAGGTTCTTCTATGAGAATGGCAACAATTAGCAACAGCCTACAAACATATCACTCAACACATGGGCTGAAATAGATATGAAAATGCTATTTATAAAACGTTTCTGACCAGTCCTCATCTGTTTACTTACTAGTTTTTGATCTTTTTGTGTATTATGACATCAAGTTGGTCAAATCAGCAAATCAGTAACCACAACTCTTTCAGATTTGAATTGTTATTCTGACTGAATTGTTATTCTGAAAATTAATTTTTCTGACACCATATGAATGCAGTGTTCGCCATAAGGTGGCCAACTGCTGGCTGTACTTTCACATTAACTTTAAAACATGAGAGTGCTTTCTTTTTTTCTTTGTCTAAATACTAAATATTTTATTATTTTCTTTAAAAATTGTCAGATTTAAGGTTATTGATTGAAAAAAGACAGAATAAAGCACATTCTTACAATGGAAACAAAACAACTAAAACATCATCTTCCTGTACATAAATAATGTTGTTTAATTAAAGCAATTACAGAGTGCAGATTCTAAAGTAAGTTAATGACTTCATTACTTTTCATCGAGGCCGCTCAGCTCCTTCCCAACGTCCTCGTACGTGGTGTGGAGGGCTCGGTGAATTTTCTGAAAGTAGAACAGATAAAACATAAAACTCCAGCTGCTGATTAGTTATCTGATTTTTTTTTTAATCAATCATCAGCTCTGAATTAAATCAGCAGAGATGATGAAGTTTAATTTGTAAGAGCGGTTATTTTAGCCAGATGACGTACGGGACTTGTAAGATTCCTCACAAATCCTGCTGTGGTGCTGCTTTGAATAATTAAATCAAGGGATTGAGATTCAGAGGGAGACCGTTCTTTTCTTCTTAAAGCTTAGGAGAGGTTAAGGTTTCAGTCACTTTACACTTTAAAAAAAAAAAAATTAACTATCAAAGTCCTTAGGTTAGGCTGAAAAGAAACACCTTGAGTTCTAATGTATGACTATGCTTCCTTGGATCTTTAAACATGTCTTCAGGTGTCTGAGAGAAAGGGACACTTTTGCTCTTGATGGGTTTTTATCTTCAGTGACTAACCGAGACGTGGTCTTCTCAGAGAAGCTGAGCTGGTTTGTGATGGACGCAGGAGGCTTCCCAGCACTTGTTACCGTTTAGGAAGGATGTTGCAAACAAACATTCAGAGTAATATTCACACTGATAGTACCACTTCCATTTTTTAATTAAAAAACATCATCACAGGCGCCTCGTTTGGTAATAGCTGGAGTTTCATAAATAACAAAATATGACCTTTAGATTGTCAATTAGTGTTCCCTTTGATGTTCATAGCCTAAAACACAAGAATTCAATAACAATTTGTGCATAAAAATAGACTACTGTTCTTTTTTTAATTTCTATGTATAATTTTTTTTTAACCAAATAACAAATTGCAAATGCACATTTAGATATGCACATTTCAAAAATTGCTTTGCATGGAGTAAGACGAGGTAAAAGAAAATGTACAATCAAATATCAGTAAGATAAATCAACTGGATCTGTGAGGAAAAGCCAAAGAAAGGCTAAATATTTTATAAGTGGTCATGAAGCAGTTTATAAATGTTTGCCAGTGTGAGTTTTTAATCATTTTCTGATATTCAAATACGTTGAGGTGCTGTGAAACTACGCAAACTCAGAGGCATCAAAAAGTGACTATTGCGTGTGTTAGTACTGGAGGAAAATGTGAAAAAAAGGTAGAGAAGATACCCGTACACCAATTCAACCGTGCTTAAAAGTCACAAAAGAGTCCACAGGCTGAGATAAATGCAAAAAAATAGTCTCTTTAAAGAAGACACGATAGGTGCTCACAGTGCAAAAGGTGAATAAAAACAGCAGCAGTTTTCTACTCCAGCAGTTCCTTTTTTTACTCAACTTTTTTTTTTATTATTTAATTTTAAAATATGACAGAGGTTAGTTTAAAGAGCAGAGATGCTAAATTATGTAGTTGGAATTCCATAGTAGATTATCAGAAATAAGTATATTTTTATCTTTTAGTAAAAATTTGATGTTTCCCAGTCTTGGCTGTTATTATGAGTTTTTAACACTAGAGGGCGTATGTTAGCTGCAAATAGGACTTCTTAGAAATAAGAATATGCTGGTGTGTGTGTGTGTGTGTGTGTGTGTGTGTGTGTGTGTGTGTGTGTGACTGTTCTCATATGCTTGTGCACGTTCATATATGAGTAATGTGAAGGTTAAAGTTGTGCATCTTTTCCCCTTCCGTTGTCTCTTTACTTTTTGCGTGCATGAGCATGTTTCCACTCTCCACCACGTGCGTAGTGTTTCCACTCACCTGGCTCGTGTGCAGCCAGTACTGCAGTGTGTGCGTGCGCCGGAGGCGTGGGATGACCAGGTGATAGAAGGTGTGTTCACCTGCCAAGGTCAGCAAGGCTCCACCCACCCCCATACACAGCAGCACGAACAGGCCCGAGAAATGCTGGATCCCCATCTGTAGAGTCTGAGGGGGGGGGCGGCAACAGGAGAGGAGAAAAGAGAGGGTGGGGTGGTAGTGGTGACACAGATTAGTAAAAACTTAATATAAAAGAAAACAAAAAATGCAGAGATTGATGATTTGTATTTACATAATTACTATTCAGGCCGCTCTGTACGAATATGCAATTGATATTCAGCTTCTGTATGTCTACTTTAGCTGTGTAAGCCCATAAGAATAGAATAAAGAAGAGAGGGCAAGAGCGTAAAAGACATGCCTGGAAAGGAAAGTAGAAGCGAAGTAGGAGACATGGAAAGCGTAAAGAGCTGAGAGGGGAAAGAAAACTGAGAGTGATAGTAAGAAAGAGCACTTAGTGATGCTTAATTGAGGAGCAGTTTGTTCCCATTTTGTTCGCCCACATTCCGCTGGACACATTGTCTATCTCTTATGAGGTTTTCAAGGGCCCGGAGGAAGTGGAAACAGACAGCGGTGCTCTCTAATCATGTTCCCTTCACCCGGCTCATTTCTGGGCTGCCTCTGATGGCAATTAGCCCCATGCTGACTCTGCGAATTCATCAGCGACAACAGTGACCTCCTTTTGCTCCCAATCCAGAGGGCGAGATCGCAGTCGCACTAACACCCACATTGTTTGAGAGTAGCCCACTCTCTGCCGTTGTATAGTACAAATGGTAATAAGTTTCTAATGCAGGGTGAAGTTAAGGTTCTGTTTCATTCGGAGAAACCTACGACTGTGTAATTGTGTTTTCATAATATGATCCAGCTTTGAAGTGGGATTTAAAAGGCATGGCCAAAGGGAGTTGAATTGCTGCTCGGCTCACAGACAACAAATATAGATAGACTACAGACAGTGCGCTCTATCTAGAGATTCACACTTTTGTTTTTTTTTTTTATAAAAGGAGGGCGAGAACTCAAAGTACTTTGCTTTAGCACACACACTAGACAGAAATAAGTATCTTCACTCAGACAGTACGTGCCTCTAACTCCAGTTGAGCTCAGCAAATAGGCCCGAGTTTATGTGATTGTATGTCTACGTCTGAGCCTGTGTGTTCATCTGTGTGTGTCACTGTCAGGTGTGTGTGTTTAGCTGCCAGGCAATCCTGTCAGTGCCCCAAAGGGAGACTCATTTAGAGGAGCACAGCTACATAAGGCTTTGCTTTACACACCGAACACGTACACACACTACATGAACACACGCACTCTCCCACGCGCCGGCGACTTACCTCAGTGACGGCAAAGACTCGTTTCCCGCAAGGCACCACCTTGTACCATTTGTCATGTAGCATGTCCATGAAGCCATCAGACTTGTAGCGACTCACGAACTCAGACACGTTTCGGGTTAGAGGAGAGCCCTGGGGCAGACCTATGCCGTAGCCTGAAAGACGAGGAGAAACACACAGATGTACAGTTGATATATAGGCAACAGAATCTGGAAGAAGCAGCTCTATTTGTTCTGTTCTCATTGTCTAGTCACTGTACATGCTGTTTTCAGTATTACTACTGTCTTTCAAGCTTCATCAAACGTTGTATAGAGTTAGCAAACACTATAATGTGGGTATTTGTAGTTATTTATATATGATCATTAAAACTTTAACTCAGTGTGATTGAAATCAAATGTAGGTCTTATATAATTTTTTGCATTTATTTACTTTGCCATGGATTTTATTTTATTTCTTTAAATTACATAATTGTTGAACATTTTAAAGTGAAGTGTGTGTGTGTGTGTGTGTGTGTGTGTGTGTGTGTGTGTGTGTGTGTGTGTGTGTGTGTGTGTGTGTGTGTGCATGTGTTTGAATGTGTGTGTCTCGGTATTCCCTGATGGTGGATCCACATAAATGAATAAATAAATGCCCGAGGATGAAACTGGAGGAAGCGGGCTTTCTTGGTGGTTTTGTAGGAAACCACAGTCAGCCAGCTGCAGTTAGCCAAAGGGCAGATGCCTCCTGGATAAAGTTGATTTATAGGTTCACTGGAAAAAAAGAATTCCAAGGTACAGTGCGTTTACAGTGGAAATATATGAGCTTTTTTCTTGTATAGTAAGCCTATTTGTGTTGTGGAAATGAAGCATAAAACCACAAATGCTGGAGGGTTGCCTTTGTGGTAAGGCATAAATATTATGTAGATCAATATCTGTGTTTATAATGCTACGGTAAATTATTTTGAATCGACAAGAGGTATTCTATGAGAGCTGATAAAAAATAAAAGATGTAGAGCAGGGATGGGCAACTTTGGTCACAGCAAGGGGCCACATTAATTGAATTCTCACTGCCAGGGGGCCAACTTGTAGGATACAAAAACGATTACAGTCAATTTTGTCTCCAATTTAACTCAACACATGCCAGTGATCAAATATTATTATGGACATACTTCTGGTTTTCATGATTTCATGGCAGAGTTTGTCATGTTTTCTTCATGTTCCAGATTAATTGACGAGTAAAAGTTGACCTGAGGGCCACGTTGAGGGTTGATGGGGGCCCGCATGTGGCCCCCGGGCCGCCAGTTGCCCACCCCTGATGTAGAGTATGATCCTTTTTCTGGATATGTCACAACGTTACGGCCAATAAAAAGTTGTTTATTTAGTGTGGGCGGGGTTTAGCCTACATGTACACTCGCACGCTGTTTGAACGACTCCGCTAAAACCATTTCTCGACTTTGCTATAAAATTAAGAGAAATTAAGGAGGAAAAGTATGAAAAACGGGGTATAAACTAAAATTAAGCTGAAGTTCATGCAAAGAGTGGCTTAATGGTACTGCTGAAACACACAAAAACATAATAAAACCTGAAGAAGTCACCTGTCTGTTCCTCCATCATGGACGAAGGCCTACCTGGTAGCTTACTTGATAATTACTGGATAATATTGACGATTAAAACATAATACCGGTGATGTCTGTGACCGGCACTCCTTCAAACAACTTCACTTTTAAATACAAAGAAAGTTGACTGGCTGAATGATGCTGCTGAAACAAAACCTACACAGGTGCATTTCACCTGGCTGTTCCTCCACCCTGGATGAACCTACTTGGAGGTCAACATTTGCCATGAAGTTCCGGAGGATGTTGAGGATTAAATTGCGTTTCCATGACCAGCTCTTCCTGCTCTTAATAACTTCACTTTCCCGTTACAAGAAAATGAGCTGGCAGGCGGATTGGACTACTATAAATTTATCTCCATATTCAACTCCAAGCCGCGCTGCCCTGCCCTCCTGTGACTGAAGCTGGCAGCATCAAAAGGTAAGATTAATCAATGTGTTTGTTTGTGCCCGCCGTGGCCGCTGGATGACAGTAAATACCTTTGTCATTAATAATGAATGTGATGCGTTCACTGACAGTGCGCTCGAGTCGTTGCTTTTTAAAATCGGTAGACCTTGTTTTTTTTAGAGCGACAAATGTATTGTTTGTCTGCTTTTATGTGAACATGTGAGCTCATGAACTGTTCGATGATGTGTTTGAAGTTAGTGAGGTCTGGTTCGTTTATTTGTTTGGTGTTGTTGTCCATGTCTGTATCTTAGTTAGCTGTCACTTTTTTTTTTTTGCCTGGATTCCTAAACTAAACCCCCTAAAGTGGAGAGTCGGACCACTACATAAGATTACAGACATATTTTTGGACACACTGGACTTAAAATAAAATAAATAATCACAGAAAAACTATACAATCTCACTACTTGACCAAAAGTTATTAAATAGACCAAAAGTAGGCTTAGCAATTTACAGCTTTGTTTACTTTGAAGGCTATATCACAATTGAATTGACCGGATGCATGTGTCACTGTGCCAACATTTGTCAAGCTTTTGTTTATGATATGCTCCTATTGATTAAATTTTTTGGTAGCACTAGTACAATAGATGTATAGGTTACTGAAACAAACAGGCTTACTGATAACAAACTTTATCATTTGGGCTTATACACTAGTAATGCTTACACCACTGCCTATCACTACTCAATGGTTGGAAAATCTGAAACCTGCGTCAAATATGAAAAAAATTGCATTTCAGATGGTCACTTTCCAATGTTTGGGATATTTTTTCAGACCGAGAAGCATCAGACACATCGACACTTATTTTCATGACCTGCTAGACTTGCAAAGCTGATATGGAAGAAGAAGCCATGCATTGATTTTACACGGCTGATTGGTATTGAGCCAATACTATTCTTATTGAGGGTGACAGGTATTGGACAGATATAAACCATCCACATTTAATACAGCTTCTCTTGTCAATATAATTAGGCCTATGGAAATTCAGTGACTTCTGCAATCCCATATTGCCGGCTGCCAACTCAGTTATCTCGAGTGCAAAGGCAATCCTTTGTGCCTGATGTTACCTTAGAAAAATGAAGAGGTACAGGTAAGGTGGAGTTATTTTTGGGTTGATTTGGCATGGGGAAAAAAGAGAGAGATGAATTATTGAAATGCTACCAGGATCAATGTCAGCATTGAAGGCATCTGAAGCATAGTAAACTGTGAACACTGTCAATCTGCTTGTATTTCTGTCAAAGCCTACAGTGAACGTCCGCTTTCTGTCATCATCCGTTAGCCGGGTGGGTCGTCATATTCACTAAAATGATTTGAGGGTTGGAGTGCGATCAAGTTTGACTCAACGCCCTGGACTCCATGTAATGGAAAGAGTGCGAATAAGGTCGTATTTTACCTCACTGTGCTCCTTACATGCAGTTATGTTCCCTTGGGTCATGCACTCACTAGCTGTTGCTGCCCTCTGGTGATTTATTGGTGCAATATATATGACTTCAGTGGAAATGAAAACACTGTGTGGGAGGAGATGGTGCAGCACCAGCATGTCTTCTGAGAAACTTCTTAGAAGTTAAGCAAAAAAAATTGTCAGCCATGTATTTTTCATATAACCTTTATGAAGAACAACCATCTTTTGGAAATTGTTCCTGAAAGTACTCTTTCACCCGCACACCATACTCTAAATGTGTCCTTTTCCTCGAGCGTGCATGATAACTTTTGTTAGACTTTCCTGCATTTCCATTATATTTTGAGAGGAACCCCTCAAGCCTGCCTGAGGAAAATTAAGAGGTACAAGACACTTCATAGTACTTCAGCCATCAACTGGTAATATTATGAGTTTTATTCTGTTTTTACTGGCAGTTTTATGACATCCTTTGACGGAAAATATATTAAAATCTGAATGTGCTTAGGGAGGATACCATCCTTCTCCAGCTTTGAGTTTAGTTTTGTCACCACACTTCCAGGTTCCATAAAAATTCCCCCGCCCCCCCCCATCAAAAAAATAAATGGTCCTCCATCCTCTCACCTACTTTGACCTCATCACCGCAGCGGCCTCTTAGCTGAAAAACACTTATGGTGGTCTGTGATGCAGATCATCCACTCTATCCATGCTCGCTTCACACCCTTACCCTCTGGTTAGAAGACCTGCTTTGACAAAAAGGCCAAATAAAGGCCACTTTCACTCCATTTGCACTTGAAACTAGATTACATGCTGACATTTCAGCGCTTATGTGTGTGTTTCACTGACAAGTTGTGTCACATTAATAGAACCTTGCCTATATGGGCTTTTTAAGACAGATATGATTCTAAGGGGGGGGTTGGGGGGCATTTACAGATTACCGATAAATCAGCCAATAATATGAGTCGTCTTTGTAGTTTAAATTAACATAGACACTTTCCGTATTAATTGTTTACTAATTTCTCAGCTGATTAAAGCACGCAAAGGTCCTCAGAAGACTTCTTTTGCGGCCGGTAACATTGTTGTTTTACATTCTCAACAAATTCAAGTGCAGACTTGTGTTTCTTTATTCCACAGGTGCTGCAGACCGTGTTGAGAATATAATAATACAGGGCTGCACGGTTATGGCCAGAAGTAAAATCAAGTTTATTTTGATTAGTATTGAGATCCCGATTGTTCATCACATTTATTTATTCATTTTAGGGACTAACTCGTTTCTTTGTACTTTCACATTTTAAATAAGAAGAGCAACTCTTCAGTTTCATTTTGTGGTACGTCTGGGCTCATGTGCACATTTTGAACAGACACACACTCACTCACTCACTCACTCACTCGCTCACTTGCTCACTCACTCACTCACACGCTTTTCTTACTCTCTGCCAGGCAGCGCACACACCCCTCCTCTGGCCTGCTTATATTTTGACAGACAGATTGGATGGACACAGTGGGGGAAGATATCATGGATTTTTAATGTCTGACAGGCCACCACTATACTTTTAGTCCTGTTTCCTCTTGTTAACGAAAAACCAAGAAATCTGTTTTTAGCTCACCTCGTCTTCTTCGGGAAAGAAATTGTGTTACTGAACATTTTTCATTTGGGACTATATGGACAGACTTATACTAAAGATAAATTTTCATAGCAGCACAGAACTAAAATGATATTCATGTA